CTGTGCTGAGGGCTCCAGAGCTGGACGCAGGACTCACAGGGGGGTCTCAGCAGAGCGGGGCAGAGGGGCAGAACCCCCTCCCTGGCCCTGCTGGCCATGCTATATATATATAGCATATAAATTTCACAGTGTTTTACATTTTTATGAAGTCTGTATGCATACTTTTTTCACAGCATCCCAGCCGGAGCTGGCGGGGACACCAGCGAAGCCGGCTCCTGGCTCACCACGCGCCCACCGACAGCCCAGAGCGACGGCCAAACGCTTCTTGCGCTCCAACAGCCCTGGGGCCGCGACTGCTTCCCTGGGGAGCTTCTTCCAGTGCTTCTGCATACGTGTTCTATAAATATCTATCAATCATATATATGTAGGTATATATACACACACACACAGATGTCCATATGCATTCTGGACTGTAGGAAGTCCGTACATACAACGAGGGAGGTGGTTTTGCCAGGTCACCACGTGACCTTTGCTGCTCCCAGTGCTCCAGCTCATTTGCTAAGGGGCTTTTCCTGCCATTCCGCTCCTTCCCCGGAACCGGGGCAGGAAGAAACCCCAGCCTAGGAGCACAAGGAGACCCCCCCACGCCGCGGAGCTGGCGCTTACTTTCTGTGGAAGGCATGTTTACAGGGGCAGATCCCCAGCTCGTCCTTGGGCTTGAACTCCTCCAAGCACACGGCGCAGATCTGAGAAGAAGCAGGAGAAGGCACTCAGCTGGCGGAAAGCAAGAAGAACACCCCCTCCCCCCCCCAAAACCTCCCCCAGCACGATGCCCTCGGCCAGGCTCCATCTTCTCCCCGGCACTCACGACATCCCTGCCTTGGGCTGGGGGGAAAAAAAGGGCGATTTGGCTTCAGATGCCGGCCAGGACACGCTGGGGGTGGGCAGAGAAATTCCTCCCCGTACTGCAGGGAAAGCAAACTCCTCTTTTGCTGCAAACCCTCTGGTTTTGACCAAGGAGCTGGGCTTTTTTTTGCCCACACTGCGCTGCAGGAGAAAGGTTTGGGAGGTTTCTGCGTCCCCGAGTGGTGAAACCTCCCCCAGAGCCTTCCCAGAGTTTGCTGCCCGGGCTTTGGGTCTCCCCTGCCCTGTGGAGGGGACCCCAGAGCCCCCCCAGAGCAGCAGCCGCAAGGCTGGGCCGTGGTTTGACGTGCCAGGAGGCTTTAGGGTGCAGGGGGACCGATCCACGCTCCCGCATGGTCCCTGGGATGGAGCTGCATCCGCAGGGATAACTCTGGGAAGAGGAACAGGCGAAGGACGCATCCCTGCCCCGGGGATGAGAAGGCTGGTGGCCATTTTTTGGCCAGCAAGAGCCCCAGCCGACATCCCCTTCCCGCACGCTGCCGGTTTTTCCTGACCCGTTTGGGATATTCCCAGGGATTTCGGATATTCCCAGCTGTTTGGGGGATATTCCCAGGGATTTTGGATATTCCCAGCTGTTTTTGGGGATATTCCCGGGGATTTCGGATATTCCTAGCTGTTTTGGGGATATTCCCGGGGATTTTGAATATTCCCAGCTGTTTTGGGGATATTCCCAGGGATTTTGGATATTCCCAGCTGTTTTTGGGGATATTCCCGGGGATTTTGGATATTCCTAGCTGTTTTGGGGATATTCCCGGGGATTTTGAATATTCCCAGCTGTTTTGGGGATATTCCCAGGGATTTTGGATATTCCCAGCTGTTTTTGGGGATATTCCCGGGGATTTTGGATATTCCTAGCTGTTTTGGGGATATTCCCGGGGATTTTGAATATTCCCAGCTGTTTTGGGGATATTCCCAGGGATTTTGGATATTCCCAGCTGTTTTTGGGGATATTCCCGGGGATTTTGGATATTCCTAGCTGTTTTGGGGATATTCCCGGGGATTTTGAATATTCCCAGCTGTTTTGGGGATATTCCCAGGGATTTTGGATATTCCCAGCTGTTTTTGGGGATATTCCCGGGGATTTTGGATATTCCTAGCTGTTTTGGGGATATTCCCGGGGATTTTGAATATTCCCAGCTGTTTTGGGGATATTCCCAGGGATTTTGGATATTCCCAGCTGTTTTTGGGGATATTCCCGGGGATTTTGGATATTCCTAGCTGTTTTGGGGATATTCCCGGGGATTTTGAATATTCCCAGCTGTTTTGGGGATATTCCCAGGGATTTTGGATATTCCCAGCTGTTTTTGGGGATATTCCCGGGGATGGGATGTTGCAAAACCCAACCCCCCGCCGCCGCGCTCCGCTTTCCGCAGCCGCTCACTGTAAATACCCCAGGCCAAATGCCCAAAAAGGGATATCTGGGAAGGAGCTGGAGCAAAACCCTTTCCCGAATGCCAGGGAGGAGCTCGAGGAGCTCCATCCCCTTCCCCAGGGACCCCTCGTCCTCCTGGAAAGCGTTGGGGCTGGGAGAGCTGGGAGCGGAGGCGATGGAGGAGGAGGACGGAG